GGAGGCGGAGGCGGAGGCGGAGGCGGAGGCGGAGGCGGAGGCGGAGGCGGAGGCGGAGGCGGAGGCGGAGGCGGAGGCGAAGGCGGAGGCGGAGGCGCAGGCGGAGGCGGAGGCGGAGGCGGAGGCGGAGGCGGAGGCGGAGGCGGAGGCGGAGGCGGAGGAGGAGGAGGAGGAGGAGGAGGAGGAGGCGGAGGCGGAGGCGGAGGCGGAGGCGGAGGCGGAGGCGGAGGCGGCGGAGGAGGAGGAGGAGGAGGAGGAGGAGGATGAGGAGGAGGAGGGGGGGGGGAGGATGAGGAGGAGGAGGAGGAGGAGGAGGACCTGGCCTCACTGGCGCGGGGGAGTGACGGCCCCCAAAGTCACGCCTCGTCGTCTGGTCAGACGAGGTTTTCGGCGATTCTTTGTTTCATTTCTCGTTCAGGGTCGGATGGCCCCTCCGAGGCATGGTGGTGCCACATTCGATACTTGGCAATGTCAGCACAAGCGGTGCGGCTACCGCTTCAACTTCCTCACGCGCACGCACTGCCGCGCGTGCGGTCGCCCCGCGCCCAGCGCGCCCCCCTCGGATGGCACGCGTACTCTGGGCGCCTGGCTGCATGGGCCGCCCCAGGTCGGCGGCCATGGCAGCGAAGGCGGCGGCGGCGGCTGTGGCAAGCGTGGCAACGGCGGTGGCGCGCCAGGGCAGGGCGACGGCAAGCTCTCGTACCCCGAGCCTTCAGCCATCGAGATCTATGCCAAGCCCGAGGCGGCCGACTTCGAGGCGGTCTCTGCGAACTGGACGCCCAAGCTGGTGGCGAAGGTGGGCTCACACCGTGCGCTGCGGGCTGGTGGGCCACGGGCAGAGGCGCGTTCTGCGCGCATCGAGCAGGATGTCCTGGCCGACAAGCGGGACAAGGCGCAGCGGGTCTACGACCGTGCCCAGGAGGCCGCCCTCAAGGCAGTCACAGCTGCGGCGGTGGCCAAGAAGGAGCTCGACGAGGCCAAGGCGCGCTGCGCGGAGGCCGCCGCGCGTGCTGCGCTGGCCTACCAGAGCATGGCGCAGGCTGTGGACCCCGCCCAGGCACTCGCTGCCCTGGCCGATGGGCTCAAGGCGGGCCCCAGGCTTACGGACTTCGCCCAGCAGCTCCAGACGCTCGTGCCCATGTTGCGGCAGCTCGCCGAGCCCGACGTGGTCATGCAGGGCGCCACCCATGTACCAGGTGCTCCAGGTGCTGCTCCTGCTGGTGCCGCTGGCGGCGCTCCTGCTGCTGATGGCGCTCCCGCGGCGGCTGCATCCCAGCCGCCCGAGGGAGCGGCAGCGCGCGCCCCAGCCACCCCAGTCGAGGCGGCTGCTCGGGAGGCCGCGGGCATGGCGCAGGCCGAGGCGAGGCGCAGCGTGCCGCGCGCGCTGCCAGCGATGCAGCCGCAGAGCGGCAGCGCGCCCAGGCCTCCCACACCGAGCTGCTCGCCTGGCTCGAACAGCAACGGGCTGGCCAGTAGGTCCAGCCCGAGGCGGAGCAGCAGGGAGTCAAGCACGAGCTCGTCCAGGGTATATTCGACCAGCTCGTGGAGGCCGCCAAGAAAAAGGCTCGCGCGGACGGGGTTGCTGAATCTGATCTTTAGCGTTACCCTGGTCACCGCCAACGTGTCTGGTCGCAGTGGTTTGGAGGCTGCGCTTCAGCATGAGCAGATTCGAGGTGCTGTTGCTGTCGCCGTCCAAGAGCACCACATGTTGAGAGACAAGTGCGACACCTGGGAGCACAAACTTCGAGCCTTGGGATGGCGTGCTGCCTTCACTGCTGCGGCCATCACCTCGCAGGGCGGCACATCAGGAGGGCTGCTGCAGTGTGTGCCCGCTGCTGCTGGCCTGGCTGAGGTTGAGTGCGTACCTAGTGTCATGCATGAGGGCCGCGTGCGCATCTTGCACAGTCACGGTCTCACGCCGTTGGGCTTCCTGTGGGTCAATCTGTATCGTCATCACTCCGAGGGTCTGTCTAAGGCTAGCTGGGCCATCCTCACCGATGTTGGGCAGGTGGTGAAAGCCGTAGGTTTGCCGTTTGTCATTTGTGGAGATTTCCAGATGCCACCTGAGGAGCTCCAGGATAGTCGTTGGGTGGAAGCGTTGGATGGAGTCTGCCTGTTTCCATCTTCTGCCGCCTGCACTAATGCTGCTGCTTCCGCGGGTCGTGTCATTGACTACTTTGTCGTTTCGCAGTCGCTCTCCCAACGTGCCTGTGTTTCCGTCGTACCCGACGCGGGCGCAGCGCCACACTGTCCAGTGCTGCTTCAGCTCTCAGCACTCCCGCAGTGTGGGCTCGAGTTTCGCACAGCATGTGTGCCCAGGCGTTTTCCCCTAGAGGTCCCAGTGTCGTGCAGGAGGGCTGATCCTTCACCGCGATGGCAGCACTGCTGCAAGCAGATGTCAAGTCTCCCGCTCGCGGAGAAGTGGCAGCTGTGGGTAGCCAACGCGGAGTTCGATCTCGCGGATGTGCATGGTCTCACGCCCGCAGAGAATCCCGAGTACTACGGCAGAGCCTTCCCTCCGCAGTTTGTCACGCGCGAGCCGCTGCTTCCACGCCCGCTGGCTTTTCCTGCGCTTAGCCCAGCTGCCCTCTGGTGGCGGCTCTTGGCTCGCTGCTTCGAAGGTCTTGCGCGCTGGCAGCCGCCTAATTTACGTGCCAGCACTTTCAAGCTAGGTCGCAGTGTCCAGGCTCGGCATAGAGTTAGTGGTGTTCTGATTGAAGAAGCCGAGCCCTGGCTACTGCTGCTACAGTTGTCACTGTCGTTGCCGTGTGAGCTGGCGTCAGCAGCGGCAAAGTTCACTGGTGCTCGTGCTGTTGCAGTTTTCAAGCAGGCAGAGCGAGGCAAGCAGGCTGGCTGGAGCGATTGGGTGCGCAGGCACTCGATTGACGGCGCAGCCGCTCTGTATGCTTTCTCCAAGCCCGCCGTGCCGTGGCACACCAGCTCTTTAACTGCTGGCAAGCCATGCACGATCCGGGAGGAGGTGGAGGTTCTTGAGGTGGAGTGGTCGGGTTGGTGGAAGGTTGAAGCTGTCAGTGATCAGATCGTCTGGCCGACGGACCTTGGGCCCCTTTTTGAGAGACCTTCACTCGGGCAGCTAAACACGTGCGTGCGTTCCTTTCCGCGA